GGGCGGGCGGGCAGAGAGGGAGGCTTTTAAATGGCTTTGAGGAGTGGTACCTCGGAGGTGGGGACGTGCCGGGAGGCTGGAGCGCCTTTGCTGATCGCGGCCGGAGTTGTGTACGTATTGTGGTTTGGTTTTTTCCGATTTAGCGTGCAGTGTTTTAAGGACAGGAGCCGGGAGTGTTGGTGAACTCCTGGAGGGTGGTGTGGGTTAAATGAGCCTCTGCTGCAGAAACTCTTAACGGCTCTGCTTTGCCTTTACAGCACGGGGAAAAGGAGGTGGTGTGTGCTTGTTTAGATAGTTTGGCAGATAGGTAGTTTGGCTCTGCTGGCTTTAATGTGTTTGGTTTTAGTTGCCTTTTACAGAAATGTGCTCACTGGTAGGTATTAAAAAAACCCAAATAAAACCAACAACATCATACCTCAGACTGAATAACAGGTTAATGAAAAATCATCGTGCATGCAGTCAGCGAACAGGACTCGATTGGGTGATTTCTGTTCCGGACTGTGCTGTGTTTTGGGGAGCTCCATTTAATTCGGCGTGCGTCTGTCCTCTACACGTGTTGTCATTTGAAAGGAAAAATAATCCCCAGATGTTCTGGTTTTTGCATGCACTTGCCTTTGCAAATCCTAACTCCCTGGAGTTCTGCATGGTGCTCTCACGGAGCCGAAGATGCCCAGTCCGTGTCCAGAGCCCTGCTGTTTATAAGACTTGGCAGAGCAGGGGAGGAGGAGGAGGGATGTAGCACCAGGCTGTTGTTTGCCTTTTGCATAAACTACCGAGACAGGTTGCATATTGTTTGAGATGTTGCATCGATGGAGGCGGTGGGGGGGGAGAAGAAGTGCAGAAGCTGAAGTGTTCGTAATCCTTCTCTTCCTAGGGACTGTGGATCTGTGAAGCGCTTCCCTCCGATGTGAATGCAGTGTCCCCTGTGGGATGCAGTAGGTGATGCCCAGCTCTACTGCAATGGCAATTGGAGCTCTCTCTAGTTCTCTTCTCGTAACCTGCTGCCTCATGGTTGCCCTCTGTAGCTCCACCATACCCGTACAAAAACTGGCCAAGGCTCAAGACAAACAGGAGATAAAGGCGAGCCAGGAAAAGAGAGATCACACATCTACAAGGGACAGCCAGACAGGCCCGGGGAAAATGAATGAGATCGGCAGGAGTGGAAGGGAGGAGGGTAGCAGGGACTGGAAGAGCAAAGGAAACAGGAACTACTCGAACAAGGAGTCTTGGACTAAGCAAAAGCAGGCTTGGAACAGCCAGGGGACGAGCAGTAAATCCGGGAGCATTCAGATGCAAGAGCAAAGGGACGCTGCTCCTGAGGAACCTCAGGTGGCTGAAGATTCATCTCTCCCAGAAGCTGTTGCGAGCGTCACCCCCGAGCCTCCGGAGGAGTACGCCTATCCGGACTACCGTGGGAAAGGCTGTGTGGATGAGAGCGGCTTCGTTTATGCCATCGGGGAGAAGTTTGCGCCGGGCCCCTCTGCCTGCCCCTGCCTCTGCACCGAAGAGGGCCCGCTGTGCATACAGCCCGAGTGCCCCAGGCTCCACCCTCGGTGCGTCCATGTGGACACCACGCAGTGCTGCCCGCAGTGCAAGGAGAGGAAGAACTACTGCGAGTTTCGAGGGAAAACCTACCAGACCCTAGAGGAGTTCATGGTAAGGGCTGAAGCCGAAAGTCATTTTGTGGGTCCTTCTCTCGTTTAAAGTGGCATTATGTTCTTCAGGTGCTTTCTCAGAGGGCATTCTGGGTGTCCTCCTCCCCTTTTCATTTCTATGTTAATACTACTTCTGCAGTGCTGTAAAATATTCCCCTTAAACATGACCTTTCTTGCTGTATGATACTGTAGCATTTTTAAATGAGGGGGTTGATCTTTCTTAATTCTTTTGGTATTTACAGTAAAAAATGTTACTTGAAAGGATGATGCTCAGTGGTGGTGTGGATTTTATTAAAATTTTCAGCAATACATTTGTTTCCTTAGTTAACTGTTAACTGTGAAACTTCTACCTTGCAGGGTTCGAGCAGGGTTTTGTGGGCTGACTTCTATTCCTAGTAACCAGTCTGTGATGATACCTTTTTCATAACAGTCATTTATCTTTTCCTTTTTAACAATTTAAACTGTGCTGCCACAGTTGCGTAATGTTTACTTTCCGAGAATGACTATGGGCCTTCTTTTTAATAAGAGCATGGTTTGCAATCTGGATTACAGTGACACCTAAACAAATGACTTGAAAAGCTTTATGTTTAGGGAAATCCTTTTAGACTAGAGCCTTTTTAGCATTATTGTGCAAGATCACTATCATTGAAAATGCAACTTATTACAGTATGCTGAAAAGTTTTGGAGTTGGGGCAATCTTCTGGTTGCTTACCTTGCCTTTTTCCCTTCAGTATTTTATTGTGCTTGAGACCTGTGAGCAGGCTTTAAGAACTTGCTTGTGAATGACTGTTAGATACAGGACTGGTCCAAAACCCATTTCTGAACACACCAGATATTTTTCAGCTGAATATGTTGAATGGAGTACAAAAATCCAGTTCAGGGTTCTGGAAGCCTGAGCCTCTTCTCAGGGTGGAGAAAAAGAAAATGTATTTGTGAAGGCTGTAAATAAGTTGCCACCTCTGCATTCTGTGGTCTTTGCATGCTGTTGGAAACTTAACTTGGTTCATAATGTCTTTCCATGTTCTTCAACTTGCTGAAAAATAAATAAATAAAGGAGCAGAATTACTCTCTCAGGAATAAATCAGAGTGTTTCCTCTTGCTCTCTTTAGGCAGTAATATGTAGAGCAGTGGTGGATTTCAAAGCCTGGCAGAAAGCATTGTATCATCCTCCCTTTTTCCATGTCGCCCTCAAGGATTGCATTCAGCTTCGGAGTGGCAGTTTTCTATGTTAAGAGGGAGATGGTACTTTGAACAGCGACTAGTTGGTATGACCTTTTCAGAGATGGATTGTGAGATCCTTCCTTTTCCAGCAAAGTTAATTCTGAGGGGTTGCCAAGACAGTGATGCTTCTGCACACGTTCTCTGTAGGTCAGAGTTTTAAAGGCTTCTCCCACTCTTCATTCACACTCTTCTAACAAGTTGTACTGCTTTGTCTTTTGTATATAGCGGTTGTTGTATTAAGGGCTGTAAAGCAAGCCTAAAATACCTTATTGTGTTAAGCGTGTAGTGAGAGAATGAAGCCTTAGGGCTCCCTGTTACATTTGAACATGGCTGGCAGCCTTGGTAAAAAGGGAGTGCTGAACGGTGACATTTACAGAAATATTCTGAAAAGACTTTGGCTTTCATCTTTCTTTTTAACCCCATTCATCCTTCAGCCCTTGTGTTGATACCTTCCTGTAATGAAACATCGATTCCCTTACTGCTTTGTGTTAGTCTGCTTTGGAAACACGAGTGAGAAGGGATGCCTGCTTGGGATGTGCAAGGAAAGTCACTGATGCAGTTAGACAGTGGAACTGCAACCTGTTTATTTTGACATGTGAGGACTTTGGTTTTTAGTTCATCTTCAACATAGATTCTAATATTGTGAGCACATAACTGTAAATGCAGCTGTTTGCCTATGCCACTGCAATCAGGGGAGGTGTCTGGTGAGGTGAGGTACAGATGTGGTCAGATTGCTGCTGCTCAGTGGAAGCAATGGCCAATACAAGTAATTGCACACAGTTTCAAAGGTCATTTTACAAGTTTAAAGGAAAACTTCTCAGAGAGGTTACTAATATGCTATCTCTTGATTAAGGTCAGGGAAGGAGTTATAAATGGATAGCGATCTGATTTTTCTCTGTGTCTGCACCTACTGTTTGTGGCAAAGAATACCAGATATCACTGAAGGAAGAAAAGGGTGACTTTTAAGTGACGTGATCTGCACAAACATACATGTATAGATGTGTAAATATGCATGTAAGTTTGGGAGTTTGCTTATATAAAATTCCTATATGGCTTGGCATGGCAAAAAATTGCCCTGGCTAGAGGCAGTGCTAGCTCGGAAGCTGTGTGTGCCAGGGAATGGGAGGTTTGATGTGTTTCTTCTTTGATTCAGTCCTTTCTGCAGACTTTGCTTGTGTGTGTGTGTACGCACACGTTTTTCTGTTTTCAAAAAGGACATGGATGTCGACACGAAACACAACAGAGGCATGGGGGAAGGATGAGGTCTCATAAAGCTGTTTCTATCAGCACCGCTCTACTCCCCTGTGGGCATCATCAGGCAGGATGGCAGAGGGATCACAGCATCCAGACAAGTGGAACTAGGAGCAAAAGCCTTAGTTGGTGAAATGCAGTGAGGATAGAAGTCTGCATTGGAGCTGGAGATTGCTGAGCACATGCTCCAATAGATGTTTTTCAAGCTTACAGTAAAATTTGAAAATGCAGACTGACTTATAAAGTCATAGCCTTACAAGGACCATAAATTATCTTCAGAAGTGTAATGTTTGGGAAAGACCTGCATTTTTGAGAGTTCATACTTCGTGTATCTTTTTTAGAATTTCTCTGCTACCAGAAATTTTATGTATTTGTGAGTTACTTGGAAATCTGGAAATCAACAAACCCAAATGGATTTTGAAACATCTGTGGTATTTTGAAGGCACAGAGAAGTAAAAACAAGGCTGGTATGTTTATTCTTGTCAGCCTAACCCCATTCATGTTCTCCTGACTTGTGTAAGTGGCAAGGAAATATTAATAAAAATTCCAGCACAATAGCAAATAAGTTTGGGATTATGATTATTATTTTTTTTTAACTTAGATGTTTTCAAGGAACCAAATGTAGATTATATATATTTTTATATTTTTTTTTTTAATTCAGATTTTTTGATGGCTTGTTTTTGGTTTCTTTTGTTTTTTAATTAAAGTTTGGCATGTGGAAGGGGGGAAGAGAAAGCTCAGATTACTTTGGACCAGAACTTCAATGAGTGCAAATGATTTGTTACTTCTTAATTATGACAATTTACACTAAGTTGCTGGATAAACCTACTACCCTTACTAAGCTACAGTTTTCTTCATGCCCCACTAGTGGGAAATCTACCTGTTTACATAATGTTGTGTTTGCTTTTTTACAACATCTCCAACTCCATTTATACATCTGCTTATAAACTTCCCTTTAAACAATTCTAAAGAAGTTATTTTTTTTACCATCTGTACTCTATTTTCTACAGGTTTTACAGCTGCCTGGTGAATATGTAAGACTTCTCTGCCTCTCGTTGTCTTCCCACAGGTTTTGCATAGGCAGAACTAGTGCTGCTATAGAGTTAATAGCTTCATCTGTAGACTACAGAGACGTGGTATCATTAGTCTTCTGAGAGAGGTTGGTAGGTGGTATTATTTCCAGTCCAGCCTGGTTATGTCAGATGTGCTAAGCGTGAGTGCTGCTGGGCGGGTTGTTTCCCAGATGAGCAAGTGTGATGCTCGTTGCATCGGCTGCCACTAGGAACTGTGCTGCAGGGAGTGCACTTAGGTTGTAAGACTAAAAGAGAGGAAATGAAGGACCAAATGTGTCTTTTTCATTCTGACTTATTTAGCTGTTGTTACATATACACACTGTCTTATTATCTCTCTCTAGTGACGATTATGTCTCCAAGTATTAAGCTGCCATTAAGATGTGGAAAGAAGTGGGGTTTTTCTCCAGTTCCTGCCAGATCCTGATGATATATAAAAAGGAATGCACTACTGTTCAGTCCAAAGATGAACAGATAAAGGTTGACACTAATACCATTTTAGGAGCCACTGTGGTGCCTGAAAAGAGCTTTGTAGAAATAAGCACATGGAGATCTTCCTTAACTCTGCTACCATTACTCGTATTGGTGGGTTGTACAGATGACAGTACTTATTAAAGGTATACTATATGTATTCCCCTGATATCCTATGATCTATTACACAGGAAGGGTATTCATGACTGCAGTATCACATTAACAGTGTACTCTGTTATGAAAGATGTAGTCTTCAAGTGTATGTGCTGTATAGGACGGAAATGCATTATTCTGAATCATCATTGTTAGATAAAGATTAGATCAATTTTGTTTCTTACTCAATAGTATTTTCAATGCTTCATTAAATGGCTTCTTGTTCTAAGAATTTTAGGCCTCTGTCAAATTTGGAATTCTAGTAAACAACCTACTTAATTAGAATATGTTTAAATTTTACAGATGAGAGATTTTAGGAATAACATCTGTATGTTGTCTTGTTTCCTGATTATCATCAGATACTCTACTTTTTACATCACTTCTAATATTGAATGGCACAGCTACTAAGTGGTGTCCTGGGAGAGTGAATATCTGTTTGTCCTCGTTTTGGCTGGGATAGAGTTAATTTTCTTCCTAGTAACTGGTACAGTCCTTTGTTTTGTATTTAGTGTGAGAATAATGTTGATAACACTCTGATATTTTAATTGTTGCTAAGCAGTGCTTACCCTAAGCC